TATGGAAAATAAAATTGTTGCAGAATGCCATTGATATGATTTCTTGCATCGTAAATGCATCGACCTGTAGAGCTTGGTCTAGATGACGAAGTTCTTTTTGCAAAAAATGTGGCTCATGAATCCTGGTGGCACGATCAACACGGGTTTTCACAATAGCACTTTTTTTGTCCTGGATGGTGGTTTGAGTTCTAGTTGAGATACCGATCAGTATGAGTAGGTTTGCGATCAATTGTATGACCTAATTTTCCGCCAGTTTTTCTATTGACCAGTATATCAAAAAATAGTGTTTTTCGTTTTCCTTTCTCATGGGAAACTGGATGCGGCTTACCAACCCAGATTTGGTTACCTTTGATCGTGACTCGGGCCGTAAAAGCCTATATTCTCATATTTATCGTACACCAAATTGAATTTTCATTTTTTAATAAAAATGTTCATATTTCTTTAATACAATTTTATGACCGATACTAAGTTATCGAATTCATAGGATCTCATACTTGGCCAATTGAATGAAAAGTGTATAAATTCTTCCTACATATTCATTTTCCATCTGACTTTATCTCTATGGATGAAAATATATTTCGGTATCGAAGTCGTAAGGGTTGTAGTTTAGCAGCAGTTCAGGATCGTTCCTCTCCATTCCTCTCAAAATAGGGGGATACATGTACGAAACACACACCATTCGTAATCTGTTGAAAAATTTCCCAACCAATAATTTTTTCTTTTTCACATTATACACAATTGCTCAGTTTATCATATCTACTATTTTCACACATTTTTTATTTATTATAAACTATCGATATAAATGCATTAAACACAATATTAAAACATGAAAAACTTCATATGGAAGCCTCATGATTTCAAAATATGTCTGGAATTATTTATGGGTAGCAGTAATTTTAGTTCGCAATTCTGTAAAGTTCATTTTCGTCGTTGTGAAGAACTTACCAGTAATATAATAATTTTTCTTACTTACTATCTTCTTTTAGACCGATCATTAGCTCCAGAGATTCAGCCACTCAGAACTTGTTCAGATTTTTACTACCAATAATTAAACCACTGCAATGTAAAACATCATCTTTTGTGAAAAATTCAAGGCATTTTGATGAACTACTAGGGGAAATCGAAGGTAAAGAGCAGGATCAACTGATCAGTTTCGACGTGGAAAGCCTCTACACCAACGTTCCTGTCGAAGAAGCACTTCGAATCATACAGAAGAAGCTATCCGAAGATGGGGACCTGAAAGATAGAACAAACTTAGTGATACAAGTAATCATGGAATTACTAGGATGATGTGTACAAAACTGCTACTTCCAACTGAACGACGAATTCTTTACGCAAGATGAGGGACTGCCAATGAGATCGCTATTTTCACCGTTTTTAGCTAATATATATGGAGTGGTTTGAAACTCTGGCCATTGAAGAAGCCCACAAGAAGCCCTGAGTCTGGTTGAGATACGTAGACACCTTCATAATATGGAACCATGGAAATGCAGAACTAGACACTTTCTTGAAGCACATCAACAACGTAAGTCCTTCCGTCACTTTCACAATGGAGAAGGAAATCCACAACGAATGTCCTTTCTTAGACGTGTTGGTGAAGAGGACCGACAATAAATGAGAAAAATCTGTATATCGAAAACCCACTTACACAGGACAGTATCTGTACCAGAAATCCAACCACCATCAATCGACTAAGAGAGGAATCATCAAGGCTCTACTAGACCGTGCTTTCGGGTTCTGTAATACAAAGGAAGGACTCGAAAAGGAACTAGGCATCATCAAAAATGACCTTCAACGGAATGTTTTGCGCCACTGGAATTAATGAATTCGCTCTGAAGCGTCAATTAATTTTTGTTGTTGTTTTATAATTTCAGCTCTTGTACACAGTTGTATGTCTTGTTATTTTAATTTTACCACCAATCTTTCATCATATCTTTTCCGGTTCCATCTAAAGAACGATCATAGTAAACCGAATACTTTTTGTGTGTTTATATGTCTTCTACTTTTTATGTTAATGAATTCAGAAATATCAAGAAATATGTTAGTTTTGTATTTTCATTGCAGACTGATAAGAAAAGCACTGGCAAATGATTGTAAAATGTTGATAACAACAACAAATGAACCGAAATGTGGAAAAAAGTATCGACTTCATTAAGTGGCATGGCAACAGAAAACGGTGAGTACTGCATGATGATGTTCATGAAAAAATCAGGGCTTTCAATCTTGGAATACTATTCAAACCAATTTTCCAGGATTGTTGGCTTTGTTGTGCAGGTTTTTATTCCTGACGTTCCGTCTTTTACTGAGGAATACTTTATTAAAAGCGATGAAGCAACGAACGAAGTGCTGGGGTTGTTCTCATAACGGAAAGTGCATTATTGGATTGTGTCTCCATTTTCATTGGCGATAGGTGTAGCTTTGTGTCTTTCGTTTGAATTAAATGGCCTTATTTTTGTGTAATTGAGAACAGGTACACAGTTTCATTTATGGTCTTTCTTTGTCTCTGAATTTCCATCACCTCCCTATATACTCTCGAATTGTAATTCTGAGTTTTGTCCAGTATTTGAAAATGTGGTGATGTGAGTGCATTCTGTGAGAGCATGTTTGGCTACAGCATTCGTCGGTTTGTCCGTGGCGTCAATTTCTCTTATGTTCAAAAAGACGGGTATCTATACTTCTTTTCGTGGTTCCAATGTAAACCGACATGCAGCTATTCGGTATACCTTCGTTGTTGCTAAAGGTTTCCTGAGGTCCTTGGCTGACCTCAGATTCTCTTCGATAGTTTTAGTTGGCCTGAATATTGGTTTCACGTTGTGTTTCTCCAGTATTACGTATCCGAATTCAGTCTATATCATTTTTAACATAGGGGAGGAAAGCTTTTACATTAAATAACTTAGCCGGAGTTATTTTGGCTTTCTCTCTCCTGGGTCGTATGGTTCGCTCGAATTTTCCTTCGCTGTACCCATTCCCTTTGAAGGCATTTTTCAGGTGATTGAGTTTCTCGGGAAGACTCCCAGTTTCACAGATACTTCTTGTCCTCTCAACAAACGGTGAGAGTTTTAATCCAGATATATGTCTGTGTGCACTGATTTCATATGCCCAATGTCCCATCACAAATGTGTTAACAAGAAGACGATAGTCACATTGCGAGAGTTTTGAGTTCAGGGAGTTTGGATATGATAGAAACTCGTTTATTTTCTGTTCACCATCCTGCCATACTACGAACGTATCATCAACGTAACATAGCTAACAATATGGTTTCACGGATACTTACTCCAAGACCCACTGTTCCAATTTTTTCTTGAAAAAGTTTGCTGCCACTGGATTCAATGGGCTGTCCATTGCAGTTTCATCTATTTACTTGTGAAAAACACGATTTCACTGGAAATACGTCGATGATAAACAATGGCGAACAGGGCGGTTATGTTTGCTGGGAATACTTCGCCAATTAGCCGTATAGTATCTTTGACCGGAACCATCGTGTACAAGGAGGGCAAGTGGAAGCTCACTAGTATGTGTCCTGAATCTAACTTCATATCTGTACAATGAAATGTCCCTAATTCTCAATAAATGGCTGCAATAGGATCGTCAAGTATTTGGCCAGCTCATGAGTTTGTGAACCTATCGCCTTTACGATAGGTCCTAGTGAAACAGACAGTGGCTGCAGACAAGGGAAACGCTTCTGTTGTGATGGATACTGATCTCTACGAACAGAAGATCGAAGAGGTGCTTCAGAAAGGAAAATACACGAGGATCGTAAGAGACCCTACTGCATCAATTGAAAGGAAATTGTACCAGGCTTTGAAAAAACACCAAGTCTATTTTTTGGAAAAAGAGAGATCATCGCTAACACCGCACCACAGTAAGCCCCCTCACTTGTAGGGACTACCCAAAATCCACAAAAATTATGTTCCGCTCAGACCGATCATTAGCTCCAGAGATTCAGCCACTCAGAACTTGTTCAGATTTTTACTACCAATAATTAAACCACTGCAATGTAAAACATCATCTTTTGTGAAAAATTCAAGGCATTTTGATGAACTACTAGGGGAAATCGAAGGTAAAGAGCAGGATCAACTGATCAGTTTCGACGTGGAAAGCCTCTACACCAACGTTCCTGTCGAAGAAGCACTTCAAATCATACA